CTGGTCTGCTGGAGATGGTCCCCAGCAGACCAGGGGCACCGGGAGCAGCTTTTCTCGCCCCGGAGGTCGAGGTGGCGGACCACTGCCTGCGAGCTCCGGGGCGAGAAAGCCCCGTTCGTAAGTGCGGATCCGACATAAGTCGGATCCGTGTAAGTCGGGGACTGCCTGTATGCTAACTTGAAACCTGAGGTGGAGAAAGACCCTTAAATCATAGGGTGGTTTTGAGGATAAATTATTATTTGTAAAGATTGTTTACATCTTCTGGATAAACAGAGACTATTGAGAAAGACAAAGTATTAGCTTCTCAAGAGATTCCTGGAATTTTGACTGGCAATTTTGAATTGGGATCTATTTTCTGTTGTATGTTACGTTACAACAAGCCTTCCTCAATGGGCATACCCAGCCCCCTTCTCTATAGCTTCACTGGGAGCAGGGTGAGTCTGTGGCATGAGAGGTATGAAGGGCAGGATTGCCAGTTTTGGTTGGACATAATTTTGGATGTTTCATCATATGACAATTTTAAATTAAAGATTAATCTTTAATTCTTAGAGACTCCAGGACTACTCTGGGTTGGCAGCTCTAGTGGAGTGGGATGGAGAGGCGCATACTCCTTGTATGATAGGGAAACTAGATGTATTTGGGGTGCACAGAGGGTAGGTGGGGCCAGCACCTGGGCATAAGGGCCAGAAAATCAACTTCTCGATCCTCTTCACTTTCCCCATCACTGTAGAGCAGTGACTCTCAACCTTTTGGGATAACTACGTCTTTCAGGAGTCTGATTTTGTCTTGTGTACACTCTACTTACAGTATCAGACATAAAAATACAAAAGTATCACAGCACATTATGACTGAAAAAATGCTTTTTCATATTTACCATATAAAATCAATCAGTATATTTATACACTTTACTATATAGAGCAGTATAAACAAAGTCATTCTCTGTATGAAAATTTGTACTAACTTACTTAGTGTTTTTGCTGTAGCCTGTTGTAAAACTAGGCAAATAGCTAGATGAGTTGATGTACTCCCCCACAAGACCTCTGCATATCCCTCCCTGGTTGACGGCCATTTCTGTAGAGAAGGCACATTAGCACTGCAGATGCTACTGCATAGTCTGCAACCTCTTACTGTATAAGAGGAGAGGAAGAGATCTGTTTCCCACAGGCCTTATTGCGCATTCTAGCAATAAGGGTTTGAATTTATCACAGAATGTAGGTGCAAAAGAAAGTTACAAGAAGACATGGGCAGGATATTTGTCCTGGCTTAGCTCTTCAATTCGTGTGCCATGAATTGGAATCCAAAATGAACTTAGCAGTAGCAAACTAGATGAATGCTGTTCACATTTGATCACCACCATCTTCCAGACTTAGACTAGAGAATGTACCAAATACTGCACTAATATGTGTTACTGTGAGAGGTAATACTTCAATGTTTTAATTGTGTCCAAGGTAGCTAAATAGAGAGATAAAGGCAATGTGTATTAGTAGAGCTCAGTAACTAGACTACTAGACCCACACTAAGTCCTTAACAGGGAAGTTTCGGTTAACAGCCTTTTTAAAAAAATAACTGAAGAAATAAACACAGTTGCTATAGATTCCAAGTTCTTTTCCCAGTATCAAAACCACAGCTATTTACAAGCTCAGTGCTAACTGCAATGTAAGCAAAGCTGTAGGGAATAAGATTTTGGTTTAAGTCAACTATCCCTATTGGCTAATGAGCCAAAATTCATTTTTGCTACTCCACCTAACCTAAATTAGCAATAATTTATCAGTTTTACAAGGTAAGTCTCTTCACACTTGGAGAATGCATACTGTGATATCATTAAAGTCAACTGCTGTCAACATAAGAACGGCCGAACTGGGTCAGACCAAAGGTTCATCTAGCACAGTAGCCTATCTGCCGAACGTGGCCAACACCAGGTGCCCCAGAGAGGGTGGACCGAAGACAATGATCAAGCGATTTGTCCCCTGCCATCTTTCTCCAGCCTCTGACAAACAGAGGCCAGGGACACCATTTCTATCCCCTGGCTAATAGCCTTTTATGGACCTAACCTCCATGAAATTATCTAGCTTCTCTTTAAACTCTGTTATAGTATAAACAGCTTCCAAACTCAAGTCTTGTCTCTAAGATGCCTTCCTTTTCTCCATTCCCCCATAATTTTCTTTGTTACCACAGTAAGTTCCTCTTCCAAAAATATGGACAAAAATGTTTTCAGATAGTTTTGTATGGTGACTGTTGGAAAATATTAACTTGACCATAAGGACCCCTTTAGGCAATCCATGAAAAGGTGATGGGATTACTGATTAATAAAATAGGGCACTTAATTAAACCTGTACTGCCACAAACAAAACAAGCTGTAGAGAAACAAGTTCCAAATGTATTTAATAAAAATGTGTCTTACAACTTTTCTAATCAGAATATCTCTATTTCTCCAAAATAGCAATTGAACATGGAGATTTATTTACAAAACCAATTCAATAAATTATGTTTTTAGTGAGACATGTGGGGTTCTGTTATGCACAGAGCAATCTGAACAGAGAAAATTAGTCCTATTGAGACTTGACCTGTAAAATCTCTAAGCAGTTTGGCTTATAGCAGAGTACAGGCAAGCAGGTGATATATCTGTCAAATACTATGTCTCTAAGTCACCCCCTTGTGTGGGTGCTTTAATTACCTCATACATTGGTCTCTGAGTAACAGCAATTCCAGGGTTTGGTTCTAGGGCAAGAGGTGAATCCCCTTGGCTATATATATTTTTAGTAGGTTCAGTCTATTCCAGAGAGCATATAAAACAGCCCAAACAAAAGGAAATACTTATGGCCCACAACTTTGGGCCTTCATCCTCATTTAAAGGAGTAGGAAACAGTGTTTTGTGTTCCATAGGCAGTCACCGTTCCCACTCACCTGCACGAGTGAAAGCCAAGACTTAGTCCCTGAGGAATACAACAGAAAAAAACAGAACAGTCCATCTCTTCCTTCAGAGGACTCAGGCAGGCCTCATTTGCCAAGTATTCATCAGTTAGAAATACAGAAGCCCTGTCTGGAGGCACTAAACTCTGTTTCTTTCAGAATATCATCCCACCTGTGCTTAATTCTTGCTTTTTAAAGGCCTCCTCCAGGTGTGACAAAACACCCAAATGCTGCAGCTTGGGACTGATTGGAATTTCAGGAATTAACCTATTCTTGACTGAGAGGGTAGGACAGTGTCTTGCTTACTAAGGAAACAGGAGAATCACATTCATTGTAAAATTTCACATCAAGGCTGGGTGATCAGGTAACCACGTTGTACTGGCGTATTAGATAACATTCCTGAGATCAATTTCTAGCCCAGTTAATTCTAGTTGCTGAAGACACTCGGGACAGATTCTCAGGGTATTCAGATGCAGAACTCTCATTGAAAGCAGGTGAGTGAGTTAAGGTCCTAAATATCTTTGAGGCTCTAGACCTTGAACCGATTGCAACCTACTTCACAAAAACCTTGTTGTACTTTGTGCCTCACGGTAATGCTTGCATACCTACTGTTTGCTGACAGTACGTCATTGGCTGACGTTGCCTCGGGACAGATTCTCAGGGTATTCAGATGCAGAACTCTCATTGAAAGCAGGTGAGTGAGTTAAGGTCCTAAATATCTTTGAGGCTCTAGACCTTGAACCGATTGCAACCTACTTCACAAAAACCTTGTTGTACTTTGTGCCTCACGGTAATGCTTGCATACCTACTGTTTGCTGACAGTACGTCATTGGCTGACGTTGCCCTAGTT